CACTTCTGAGGTAGCAATGTGTTGTAGACGCGTTTCTGATCTCGCTTACACARGAAGCACATTTTCATTAAATTCGTGTATACAAAAATAAATGAAAGATATCCAGAACAAAATTATGAACTTCTTGAATTTAAACATCCAAGTGCATAGCTTTTTGCAATTAATGTCAACAATACTATTCTATCAGGCGTGAAGAAGTCAGGATTTTATAGCATTTTTTTTTTTTTTGTTTCTTTCTACAAATAAGTAAATATTCTTCATTAAAAACCATTTTGCAAAATGCACCGCTTTTCTATAATAAAATTTTTTCAAAAAAATGTAAATATATCCCATACTTTTGAATGAATGTGCGAATTAGCTATRTTCCAATACATTGGTAGATATTGTGGCGGACGCATAATTGTGTGCAATAACATTTTGAGGTTTGCGTATGCGCAAATATTGTATCCTTAATTAACAGCTTTATCATTGAAATGTAACAGCAATAATTCTACAAACAAGTTTGAATGCAATCAAAGTCGATGTTTCTTGTTGTTAATATTGATGTTGATTGCATTACGGAGCCCAGCAAATTAACAGCCAGTGACTGCCCACTGTCTAATCCTTTCGTAGTTCTTTTGCACGTCTGAAAGCAAGAACAATAAAACGACACAGGTTTAAGTAGAAACAATTACAATGGCAACTAAAGTGTTATTCGGTTAAGCAAATAACAGCTGCCTTTGTTCTGGTTTCCACAAAATTAGCTCAGCAACAAAAGAGTTGTGCCTTGGTAAACGTATGCCACAACACTTCGGCGAAACCGAAGAGATCCAACAATGATCTTGATATAGATATAACTGCATTCATATGCTCTTCATGTATTTTATTTAAACTTTAAATGAGGAGCTTTGTCTTTTACCATACAAGTATATCCTTCTCTGCTCCTCTCTAATGAGCGGGTCGTAATATAAATTGTAATGGACAATAAAAACGCATTGTCACATTTCGTCATAAAGGATAAAAATGCTTCACTGTTAATACTTAAGTGTTTGCAACTGACGTAGGTCTCGTATGTATTATCCAGTGTAGTCGAAACTTTATTTTTCAAATAATAAACTCATATTATCCTATAATAATATAATAACTTAAATCATTATATTCATTATATTAGAACTTCAAGCCTTTTTTAATTAACTGTAAACCAGAGTAAACAGGAAAGTCGAAAATTACTAAGAAAGGACAGAGCTGATATCATTACATTTTGTCAGATTCCAGATGAACAAAATTGAAAAATGTATCTTTGATGCGGATATAGCTAGACGCTCATTCACCGGAATGAATGCCAGGACTCGACGACTGAGTCTTTCTCGCCCACGAAAGTGGGGTATTTAATCCGAGGCTGTTGTCTTTTTTTGTTTAGGACTTGTTTCTACCTGGTGGGTTCCACACCCGTAACCTCGCTACATGTGTAGTATAAAGTTTTATACACATTTCTTATATGTCGGAGTTGCTCCGCTGAAGCTTCCTCTCTTTTCGCCATGATCCCAGGCTCCTCGCGGGTTGGCTATCGCAACTTACGCAAGGGCTGCTCTCGTTTCCATTTCCGAACAGGTATGTGTGTAAACCATATAAATACATAAATTGCAGTATTTAAATTAATTAATTTTTTGTTGGCTTCACTTATACATCCATACTTACTTGACACACGACCGCGAATTTCAAATATGGCATTCGAATCCATGAAATATCTCAGAGACTTCAAGTGAATGTCTAACGCTGTGAGCTGCATGCAAAACCATCCGAATGTCATTGTCAATGCAAGCATTTTTATACAAACATACAAACATATATTCGGAAAGCTCCTCCAGCGAGACTACCAACACCCGACAACCATCGTCAGACGTACGCTGTTGATGTGCTCACCATGTGCAATTCACATCGGCTGAAGTAACATACTATAGTACATAAGTATGTACATAAGTATATATGTATATTGACGTGTTGCCATGAGAATTTGACAAATTGTCAATTGATATTTGGTTAATGCTTCCGCATTCCCCACATGTCTTTAAGCCAAATGGGCGATTTTGGATTGGTGTATATTTAAACTACGAGTACACTAATAAAAGGCTTTTATTGAGGAACAACTCGGTGGCCGACCCTCAAATAAATGTAGAACTCTTTAAAGAACAATACTAATAACAAGACTCTACAGAAAAAAATTAGTTCTTTGTCCTAAAGTTTACTTTATGATTTTCTGATTAATTATGAATAAAAACGATAAGAAAATACCTTTTTTCGTATAAAGTTTGCTTTTGTAAAAGTTATAGTACTAATACTATATTTTTTGTTTATTAAGAGAAAGAACATAAAAGAAAAAGTAAAAGTGTGCACTTTTAAATTATTTTTTACTTTTTTATAAGTTATTTTGATAGTAAAATTTAATAAAAATAATAAAAATGTTTTTTAAGTGATTTCACTTACATATTTTAAAAAATATCGTTTCCTAAATAAAAAAGCAAACTTTTTCATTTCATATATTTTTTTCGTCTAATTACGACCTAAAGCATGGAAATTTACTGCTTTAAAGTTATGGTCAAATTTTGTGTTAACCCCTGTAATAATTAAATGTAGTTCCTCAATAAGTAGATATTTCAAAATTCAAAGATGAATACATCTATTTCTTCTTCTTTTTTGTTGGCGAAGATTTATGGTCCTTTGTGCATTGGCAACGTCGAATATCACATTCGATGGAAGGATGAGCTGCACTAGTTATATGACGACATTGAYATAGTTCAGCGAATCAAGATACAGTGGTTATGCTGGCTTGGTCATGGCGTCCGAAGAGATTCGCTTATTTATAAGTATATTTATACGGGTTGTAGTAGCTTGTTATGTTTACTGCAACTTTCTAAATTAATTGTCTTCATTAAGCTTAGACTTTCATCAAATATTTTTATGCTGCATTTCGATACGATTAATATTTTATATCCTTAATTTTGATACGGATAACTTGTTTTTAAAACCAATTCATATGGTTATCACTACACCCCGGATATCAGATTAGAACCTGATATACCAAACATGCAAAGAATACGCTTTGATGCCCTGTAAAATTCACTCATTTAGCATCTCTTACTCGATCGCTCCGATCTTGTTGATACAACTAATTTACTTTCTTTCTATACAAAAACACGCAAATACAGAAGCATCTAATCCAAAGTTCGGTTTCTCTTAATAATTAGTATTTTCAATTGAAAAAAAAATCTGTTCCTCGGAAACTACAATTATATACATATGTATGTAAATACATATAAATTGTTTAAAGTTAATTAATGAAATTATTATTATTAATAACTGTTCAATTGGTCGGTACTTTCATATTCTTAAGAGAAAAAACTGCCAATTAAGCGATTTAACCGAAATCAAAAAAAAAATAGCTTTATCTTTACGTTAAACACCAGTAACTTGGTAAGGTTTATGGTCATAAAAAAGTTATTTGGGACAAATTGGTCAATGGTCAACAGACTAGATTGTTTGTTGGATTAAGTGAACGCTCCGTGTAGAAACACTATTTTGCAAAAAATCGAAATGAAAATTATTGTGAAAACAAGTAAAACCTGCATATAAAGATGTGAGTAGCCCCAACAGCAGAGTTAAAGTTGCTTTTTCACTTTCCTTAACATCAGACGTAACACAATATCAAAGTTGTACGAATATATACTTACATACACATGTATACGTATACTTGTCGCGAATATGTAAAATATGAAGGCATCGGCCAGTCGGTTGGTATGGCAACAAAACATCAAAAAATAATAATGTATGTATACATACGTATGTATTTATACAGAAAATACAATGTACATAGGAATGTGGCTAAAGGGGAAGAAACTCCTCAATTTAGATTAGAATTCCAAAATTTCGTCSCAACCAAACCAGCCATTTCGATTCGCCACTACCCTCCTCACTACGCTTGAGCTCAGCAAAAAGTTAAGGGTGCTTTGAACTATAATAATTTATGTTTAAGATCCTATGATAATTCTAATAATTATGTGCTTTCAATTAAATTTAATATATAATGCAATAAAATTTTAACAAAATTTTTCTTTGTTGTCTTCGATTTAAGAAAAAACACATCAGAGAGGTTCTTTAGTAGATTATGGTATGTGTGTGTATACAGACCCCCTGCTTTTGTTAGTATGAAAGTACATCTTTTAAAAAAATGTTTTGATACAGTTTTATTCTAATCTTCTTTCATAAATGAAAAGCTCAAAAATCTGCGTTGACCAAAATCTACCTACAGTCCAAAGATCATATGTACTATAACATGTATACTAAGGTTTTTAAAATTGTTTTTTTTTAATTTTTTTCAACTCTTACCTCTCAAATGTTACTGATTGACAAACAAAAAATCCTCCCTCAAGCCAGGCGCTGTAGCTTAACTGTAAGTGGTCGCTATTTCATAAAAACTTAAAATTTCTTTTTATTTGCCTTTCCAATTACCCAGATTTTAAGTTTATGAGATTTAGTGACGTTTGAGCAACACAAACGAATACAAATGGTGTTGCCCGAGTAATAGCTACACGTCTTTTCGCCTTTCTTCATTATTGCTGTAGCGGTAGAAAGCATTCCTAAAGTAATTTGGACGAGTTCTGCCGGTTTGACAGTCCTTGGCTGGATAAAAATCCGGGTCCGTTTCAATTACATTGACCCAAATGCCGGGGAGAGGCAGGTGGAGAATCAGAAGTCTTCGTATGTGTACGCAGTCTAAGTATCTACATATATTGTATTTGAATTAGATTTATGTGAATTGTATTCAAGTTATATCATGGACTCCCCATAACTTAGAAATAGTTTGTTTTTAAATATTGTATAGTTCATAAGTTTTTAATTTAGAGTCTTAACCATTGAGAACTAATTTCTTAAAAACTCATTGTTGTATTCTCCAAGCAATATTGCCGCTTTTAAAAGTATCGAGATAACAAAAATTGACCTTGGGACAGCAGATTAATTGTAATTTAAAGTGCAATTTTTAGTTATGATGTTGAGTAAATGTCGAAATAAGTTTGTTTAATTTTTAGATGAATCTGTACTATTTTAAGCCGCGTATTCAAATCTTTTCGTGATGGCCACAGATTGGGAGTGTATTCCCCACTTTTATGAAGTACACAAAAATCCATTACAAAGCCACATAACTTATGAGCATCCATTGAAGATACATGGAGTGACAGTAATCGAAAGTAAAGGCACCAAACGTTGCTTGAAAGATATTCGGAGTAGCTTCAGTAGCGATAWTAGTTCACGAGCTTCATCAAGTATTTCATTATCGGCGGAGCCGCTAACTTTGTCTTTGGATGGAACGGATCCGCTGTCCCTATTTGCACGACAAGAACAAGAAAATATGGACCCTTTAACACAGGTAGCTACAGAATTTGTTGGTCTTCCCAAATTAAAACATAATCCATTAAAAATGTTTAGCAGATGGAAAAAAATGATAGTAAAAATTTGGACGAAGATAATATAAGTTGGGGCGCAAAACGTTTGGGGATATTGAATCGTTACACAACGTCAGAAAAACTGTCTATTTCGACAAGTTTCCTTTCAGCAGCAAGCTCAGGTGGAGAAGGAAGTAAGCTCTATATGATCCAATAACTAATTCCATTAAATCAGTTTAAATAAAGTGTTAACGGATTGCTGTTTTAGTTAAATCTCAGACCGTAGTCGCCGACAAAGTAAAATTTCGCCTGGAGCAGCTAGATGACTTCGATGATGCTTCCATGAGTCACATGATTGATTTAACTCAACAGGAATATATACAACGTATTGAACAATTAAATCAAGAGTTGGTAACGTCATGGAACGATGATCAACGAGTAAAATCATTAAAAATTGTCATTCAATGTTCTAAAATGCTTGCCAACACTTCAGTACTTAGCTTTTATCCTAGCCAATTTGTTCTTATAACTGATATTCTTGATATGTTTGGAAAATTGGTCTATGAGCGACTTAATATTAAAGCAAGCAATATTATAGGCGATGGAGAGTATGTGTAATTTTATTTTTTGTAACACTAATTCAAATTTTTTTATAGTAACAGGAAATTGAATGAAGCCGAGCCATTGTATGAAAACGCTAGAGAAACTTGTCAAAATTGGTTTTTTAAAATTGCTTCTATTCGGGAACTGTTACCCCGTTTATATTTGGAAATGGCTATACTCAAATGTTATGAGTTTATATCACCTAAGTAAAAATTAAAATTCCTATTAATATTTTTATATGTAACTAAAAAGTGATTTTTTTTTACAGAGAATTCGATAAAAATTTACTTCGTATTACTAAAATGATCCGTGGTATTGGTGACCCTTTAATTCAGACATATGCACGGTGCTACTTGGTTCGTATTAGTCTAAATGTTACGACTAATAAAGAATCTATAAAAGAAAATTTTAAGGATTTCTTAAAAATCTACAACACGGTACGATTGTTAAATTTCCGGAATCCTGTAAAAATCTAAATAAATATTATTTTTCAGATTTTTAGCGGAGCTGTTCGTTCTGAACTGAATCGCCAGCGTGTCAACCATGAAACATATTTATCATTGTACAGTCCGGCTTTGGATTTCATGTTATTAGCACTTGTTCACAAAAACAGTATTTACACAGAAGAAATAATGAACGAATGCAAAGGAACAAAAAATAAGTCAGACATTTTTTTATGACAGCAATATTTTATAATCTTTTCAATAATTAGTTTGAAATATTAAACGGAATTCTTACTTTGACAATTTTACAGTGGACTACTGTTTATTTCTATGCTGAATGTATTCCAACCAAAGTTCATTGCTTCAAACGCATTGGAATTCGTTAAGTTACTTGCAAGCTCTAACACAGAAGGCATTTCGAAAGGACACTTATTCCGCGCCCTTGGCATTAGTGTCAGCAACTACCCACCACTTCCAGAGCAAAGGTTACAACTTTTAAATGGTTCTTTTAATACCATAGATACTTTCACCGATGCAATTGAATATATAAACTGTATAGAAACATGGACACAATTTATTGCAAAAAATTTCTCTGTAAGTACGAAGATATTATTCAAGTACGAATTACATATGTAAATAGCATAATTTGTTTTATGTGTTCTGGTAGATAACTGTTATCAATGATCTGTTGGGAACAATAGCCTTACGAGTGAACGCAAGCCGAACATATGAAAGATTTTATACTCAGTTGCAAAATATTTTAGACAAAATTTTGCAGCATTTTGAAAATACGGAGTTGTTGCTCATTCAGGAAAACTTTTTACCATACTTAGATCTTTTTAAGAAAGATTCAAATAGGATAGTCGTATGTAAAAACATTCTGATAAGGTACCACCAAAAATCCGAAGATAATATCTCGGATGAAATTGTGATCAATGCGATAATGTTTATTGGAAAGATTCTCAGTAACTCTGTAACGTAAGTTCTTACATACTTCTTAATATTAAAATTTCATTTGCAATCGATTTCACATTTTTCACCATTAGCGCTCAATCCGTAGAAGATGAACGCCGACAAATCTCGCACTTGATAAGTAGTTTCATACGTAAAGTTACTTACACAAAAGATTTTGAACGACAGCTTAGTTTTTATGTGGACGCTCGTGAAGCTTTCACAGATTTGGACGCAGTCTATATAACATTGGTAAATTCTGTAAATAAGTTAGCCGTTGGGATACGACATGTGATTAAAGGAAATTATACTCAAAAAACTGGAGCGTTTGTAAAAGCATGCATAGCATTCTGTTTTATTTCAATCCCCAGTATTACAGCAATTCAAAATCAAATGGACCTATACTTACTAACCGGTCAGGTGGCGCTATTGAATCAATGTTTAGGACAGGGTATGTTTCATCATTATTTTTTGTAGATTCCATAATTATTGTACTTTTTAGCGGATGCGTGTTTCGAAGCCGCCCTTCAATTAGTGAGTAACTTACCACGATCCGTGGAAACGGAAGGCAAATCACTGGATCTGGAGACGTATTTGGTATCTTACCTTTGCAACATGTTAGCAACATTAGTGGTAGTACCTGTATGTAATAAAATATAAATAATAATTTAATCGCTTAACTCGTTTATCATTAGTCGAATATTTGGTTTTCATTTTATTATAGGATAGTCCCGATCAAGGGGTGCTATATCTACTCCGTCTACTACTTTCAGTCGTCACTAAATTCCCCTTCGATGCTCAGAGCTCTGGACTGGTCATCGTTTATTTGCAAGCTCTAGATATGTTGTACATACAAAGTTTGGAAGAATTTCCTTATCACATTCCCGGCGGTGAGAATTAGAAATAATCTAAAAATAATATTGAAATAATGTTGTCTTTTAATTTTAGTTGTTTCAAATGATGAACTTTATGGCCATGATCAGAAATATCTAACAGAAGTCAATAATATATGCAGTCAAGTCATTGATGACATCTTAGTTCAACTTAAGATACTGGGTAGCAAACGCCAATTACGTACGCAGGCCACACTAGCACTAGATTTATTTTTACGTATCATCCGGTATGCTAACCTTAGCCGCGAGAAAACTTTCCAACTGGCTGTCAATCTTTGGCATCTTGCTGCAAAGGCGGAGTCCCACATTAACGTTAAGTTAATTGTAAATTACCATACCTTAACGAATTTCGAACACAGTACACGAACATTTATATTGACAAATAAAATTCTCAAAGTACTGTTTTCGAGATTCACAATCTTTCTACATAATCATATCATACCTCACGCAATTTATTTACAGTCGCATACAATACAAAATGTTGAATACATCTACGAACAAATGAAGAACACAAATACGCAAAATGCACGGTCATTAGCGCGGTTGCTGCACCGAATTCAGACGAAGTAGTTTAAATTTTTATGTGTCTTCACAAATCCCTCAGTTCCACCTATTGCAAAATATACATTTGCACTTACACTCCTTTATACATGTATGTTTGCCTCATATAAGGAAAACAACTTATAGGAAATGCGAATGCAAAGTGTTTGTGCGTTTATTTTAAATTGCAAAACTGTTTGAAATAAAATAATTTACACCAAACAAGCTATTAAAAATCAATCATAATAAATTAGGAGTTTTAGGAGCATTATTTAAATATTGCAATATTTAAAAAAAAAAATTTCTTAGTATACCTTGAGAAACCAATTATTATATGTATGTATACAAAACATTTTTAGTTCAAAGCATTGTACTGAGAATTGTTGAACTCGAAATCTCAACAATTACTAATCATCTTAATATTAGCAGTTACTAATTAAAGTCTTCTCAATCTAATCTCTATATTAAAACTTTATGGAAACACCGAATTTTTGTACTCTTGCCAGCCTTGCAGAGCTTAATATTTTTATTTACTATCAGTAGTATAGGTAAAAAGGATTGCCCACTTATAAGCTTCATGTGTATATCTTCCAAATCAATAAAACTATGGCGGGGAACCTCCCAGATTTAAGTGCAAATCCAAATCTCGGGACTTATTCGACAGATATCAACCAAATCTGTTACATGACATTATTCTGCTATTCAGGAATGAAGATATCGCACTACAACAACGCCTTCTTCCCAAATAATAATTTCAATTTCCACCCGATTATTTTACATTCCAATTAATATAACGGAATAAAACTTGGCATGAAGTGTACCATCTAATGAGCAAAAACTTTCTAAATCGAACCGAAACTATTTAAGCCCTTCGGTACCGATTATGCTTCTAGGTAAGCAGTTACTGTCGTGAAGCTATCCCCATTTCCTAGTTTAGCTACCTCGCCGCTCACCCTGGAAGCGTGAGCAACCCCTGTGTAAGGTGCGGTAGCCAACCCGTGTGGAGCCTGGGGTTACGGTTAAAAGAGAGAGAAGCTTCTGTAGAGCCACTCCCACATTTCAATTTAAGGGTTCGCTGAAGTCTAAGTGCAGCGTCTGTCTGTGCCAGCGGGCTTAGGTCTTGTAACAAGCGGCTCGCTATATAAATGTATATAAAACTTTATACTAGTCTCCTGGTGAGGTTGGTGTTGCAGCAAAAATACGCACCATACTCAATATAAATATTTTCGAACTTCCGGGTGACTATACGCTAACGGTCGGTGTAACTTATCTCATGAAAAAAAGAAAATAACAGTGTATCTTTGTGCCTAACATCGGGTAACTTAACCTAGCCTCTATAGATCTTATAAAAGAATTCTCGAACACCGTGATGATACGTGAGGTACCTTAATAAAACCCAGAAATAATTTTGTTAGAATGTGGTATGTTAATAGTATGAGGTATTGGCTAAAATATATTGAGGATTATTTAATATAATTTTAGCTTTGATGGGAATGCATCCACCATTTCGTTTCACAATGAAGTTGAATTTTTTTTTATATATTTGTTTGCCAAACCTGAAAGCATTTAGCCGACTTTCATTCCTACAAGTTGCAAGAATATAAAGTATTCACCATACACCCCAACTTAGGTCCTCCTTGCTTGTTTACTGTTTGCTTTGTTTAATTCAAATTTGCGGAAACATATTGTTTTTATGTGTTAAACGGATGATTTTTATTTGTGCAGCTTCCAGTTTCAGTAGATGAGAAGTGCAGTATAGGGGGAAAGGTATCAGATCGTAAACTTGTGGCACCTACATATGTGTGTTGTAGGTTTTGCGTATAAACTTTCCGAGCATTTATTACCTAAATGAGAATACTGTTTCACTGAAAACTTTTTATTTTTTTCAGCTTTGCTGCAAATGTTGACATTGTGATAATTTTTAACGGATATGGTATATTATAGTTCTGGAGTACTTGCTTTCTCTATTTAAATAACTGAAAAGTATGTGTATACAATTCGATTTTTTGATTTAATATGCCCATTCTTTCATTTTCATTTACTTCAAATAAGATTTCGTGGTCTATCAAAAATTTGATGATTTAATTTTTTTTTAGGAATTATACAATTTGTTTGAACCTTGTCCAAAAATATAAATAAAGGCAAGGCAATACAATATAATTTTCATTAAAAAAAATTTCAAAYTTCACAGAATCAACTAAATTTGTGGACAAAACTTTGGGCTGAAGCAACTACGATATCTATGGTTATTACTAAACTTGCTTTTAAATGTTATGAAAACCATTTATGTGCGCCATGAACACCGCAACGCAAAACACCAATGACTGAAGAGATGCAAAACGCTTCAAAAATTATATTCCTTTGAATAGTAGATTATAGCGACTCTTTATGTTCGAAACTCTTCCCTAAGTATCTTAATGTTACATTTGATATTTTCAAATTGTAACTCGCTTGGAATTTTTCTCCAAAAGCTCAACAAATGTTTAAACTTTCTATGTATTTATACAAAATAACTGATTCAAATATTTTTCCTAATGTTCAACTACACTGCACTATCCATCCTTCATCTAATATCTAAACTTCAAGTTCGAGTATCCGCAAAATTATACATATTGAAAATTTATCCATCATATTATATTATTCGTTTATTTATGCGTTGTTTACCATTTCAAACTTTATGTCTAGTATTTTTAAGATAAGTTCTCATCAATTCTTCCATCAATTTTGTTGACTGTAATTCGCTCATTTTTATTTGATTGATACAATTGTTTCTTTATTACTATTTTCTATATCCTCTTCTCTTAATATTTCTTTATTGTAGAATCCTTAAAATAAACTCGATTTTCTTCTATTACATTCTGAATGTTGCGTTTGCAACGATTAACTGTGTAAGTGCGAATGCATTGCCTGTTTTCTAGGTTAAATGTTATGCTCTAAAATAATTAGTGTTGATTTTTATTATATTTATTTTTATACTGATGTATTTATCATTACCGTAATTATTAATAATCATTATTTTGTTGTTTTAATAATAATTCTGATTTTAATAATTATGTTTAATGCAAAAATTTTCACACATTGAATGGGAGGGGGGGGCAGGAGAAATTTGTTTGAGTTATATTTTAGTTTCAAGTGTTTTTTCTGAAAAAGATTTATTAATTTGTTTATGCAATTGAGATGTATATAATGTATACCATTGTTGTTGTTGTGTATTATAATGTTTCTCGTTTTAATGTGTTTGTGTATGTGGTTGCTGCTGCTGTATTACAGTAGGAAAAGGTATATAGAAGGGATTTTATAATTAAGTAAGGTGGGGTTACTTAAATTACGACACATCCTGATCTTCAACATCTTGAATTTCCGGTTTTTGTTCGCCATCACCTTATAAGAAAATATCAATTGATATATTTATTTTATTCATTCGAAAATATTACTTACCATCAGCCTGCATATCAGACGTCCATAATGTAAGATTATCCCTCAGTAATTGCATGATAAGTGTGGAATCTTTGTAGCTCTCTTCGCTTAAGGTATCTAGCTCGGCAATGGCATCGTCGAATGCTGCTTTCGCTAATCTACAAGCGCGATCGGGCGAATTAAGAATTTCATAATAGAATACCTACAACCATATACAAAAGTAAGTAAATGTTTTTTAACATATTCCCGATAATTATATTATTAATTCTACCGAAAAGTTTAACGCCAAACCCAAACGAATGGGATGTGTTGGCGGAAGATCATTCATTGCAATATCGCTGGCAGCCTTGTAAGCAATAAGTGAATTTTCTGCCGCATCCTTACGATCCGATCCAGTAGCAAATTCAGCCAAATAGCGATGATAATCACCCTTCATCTTATAATAGAATACTTTGCTTTCACCTGTGGTTGCGCATTTAATGAGATGATTTTCTAGCACATTCAAAATATCGGAACAAATATCGCGTAACTCTTTCTCCACCTGCCCGCGATAGGTTTTGATCATTTCAAGCTTCTCCTCGGCGCCTTTATTTTCCTCTTTTTGCTCAATTGAGGTAATTATACGCCATGAAGCACGGCGAGCGCCAATTACATTCTTATAAGCGACTGAAAGTAGATTTCGCTCTTCAACAGTTAATTCAACATCGAGAGAAGCAACTTTTTTCATAGCTTCAACCATTTCTGTAAAAAAATAGAAATAAAACGATTTTCTAATGTTAAAGATATATAGACAATAAATTAATTAAAAGTATTTCTTAAAAAGATGTTACTGTTTAACTTCTGATAATATAAATCGCTTAATGAAAACTGAATTGTCTCCCAATTTGGTGGTTTTTAGCCTATGTCAATGCAATATAAACTATTTAATTTTTATCATTTTCTGACTTCTGTTCGTATTTATTAATTTTTTTTTTTTTTTTTTTTCTAGTCAATTTCTAAAATAATGGAAAATTACCTCATGACAAAGAAAAGATAAGCTCATTCTTAAATTCCCCATCAGCATTTTTCAACTGCAATCAAAATTAATAAATCCCTGGTAAATCCCTTATTTTTWTATGTTTTATTACTAATTGAATTTATCAATTCAAAACAAATAATTTATAATTGAATGAAAATTGAAAAGTATTAACAAATTTATAGAATTGGGTCCCCTTCACGTTGAATCTTGTTTTTAAATAAAATATATGTATTATAAACCAGATGTAAGCGCTCAATTTTAAATCGCATAGTATAGACAATACATAATATTTATTATCTACCTATACCGGTGAAATCAGTTCCCCACGGTTCAAATTAATTGTTAAAATTTTAATCTGTATAAACGCCGTTAACCCGCATAAGAGCGACAAGGCTGTCAATAGCGGTAGAATACAACCACAAGCGCGAAAATAAGAGGATAAACATGTGATACAGACAAATGCGAACGTCACCGTTCGTCGCATCTGCGCTGTTCAAGGCAACAGACAGCATTGATTCTAAATAGCCGTCTAGGGTGCCAACGGCAACGCCGTCAACAAACTACAACTATATATCCATATATCTTCGTCCTTTTCGCACTAATATTATACGAACATTAAAATAAATTGCACCGGTGAGTGTACAAAGAAAAAAATGAGTAGATACGAGGTGTATACTTCGTTCTACAGTTACTCATAAATGATATTTAGATGTGTTTAAATATAAAAAAAAAAAAGAATAATAATAATAACTATATTATGTGTATTACGGTTTATAAAATATAAACATCACAATGGAAACAAATTAAATAAAAGTTATTTTCGTGCATGAATTGATAAGAACATAGGTTTTTGAAAAACTTATAGCATAACATACATATAAGTATAGGAATCGACTTTTTGTAATCCAACCATAAACGTCTGTAAATTGTTTATTTTGGATCAGTTAACTAGAGCAATATTCAAATTATTTTTTCTTTAACGGTTATCTAAAACGCGTTTTGTGGAAAGATAGATAGGCTAAATTCTGTCAATGGAAAACGCAGGAAAATTCGCATAGAGGGCTGCGTTATCTATTTAGAAATTACCTCACTCAATATTTTTGTATTAAAAACAGTTAACTTCTGAATAATTCATATACAGTCTATGCTAAACAAAGAAAAATATATGTATAACCTAAAAATAAAATAGCATGCTAAAGTAGTAGTTAAATGCTGTCGTTTTAAACATTCCAACTTGAAGAGTATTTTTTAACTACAGTACCTGACCTAATGTTAATTAAAAATATTTGTATGAAGAAAATTTCGTTATGATTTCTTTATCAACATTACATACAGTAGAACTCCTCATAACCGAAATGTGTCCAATCTGTTTTTTGTCCGACTAAGGGATCTGTTCACATAGGGCGAGACAAAAAGGAGTGTTTAAAATGCATTCTTAGAGTCCGAAGCTGCAACTCAGTACTATTTCACACTATATATAGTTGTATGCAAGTAGTTAATAAATGAAATTCGAGTTATAATTTCCCTAAGTTAGTTTGGAAATTATTAAGCCCATATCGAATTATTTRGCCAATACAAAACCACAATATAGCCATAAATATACACTACCAAGAAGTTGAAAATTTAATTTTATCCTTTATAAAACCTCTCCAAGGAAAAAACAGTTATAATGAGAACTATCGAAATACAGATAAATCCAATATTTAAAGATGCTTTGGGTTTATTTAATGTATATATAATATAAAACGTTTCGTTCAAAATCAACTTAAAACAACTCAAACGTCTTAGTATAAACCTAACACAAAAGGATAATGTGTAACATTATATAGCAAAATGTTTATTATACATATATGTTTATTTAAATGAATTCTTTGGTATGTATATTAACTTGTTTGAACTTGGTAGATTTTTTTTTGCATTTTTTCTCCATATAAAAATTAGCAAACGCGACTTCCAGAGACCGATCGATTTCATTCATCGATTTTTCACGCTAGCAACCAACCACGAAGAAACGCCACGGCAACGAGGTGAAACACATACGAACGAATGACGTATATTAGCGGAAAGGTAAAGAGAAAAACATCCAATTCTTAGCAAAAAGGGAAAGAATGGTATATTCAAACAGAAGAAATAGTCATACTGCTCACTCGTGCAGTGAAAATATTAGTATCCACTGCAAAATATAATTGCACTGATGATTCGATTCGGTCATCTAGACATTCCCTTCAATATTATAGTGAATGAATAAAATCTATTTTATTAAACAGCTCATCTATACATATAATATGCGCACTACAAAATTATTAGCAAATTAATCTACTTGGTGGTTACGATGTACATGGCAAATAAGTCATTTTGCAGATTAATTTTATTCTAATGGAATTCGGGGCATGACTCCGAGAACATTGAAAAATGTACCTTCATACGTCTTCGTATACTTTTATAGATAGGCATTGGAAAAACTCGTTTAGACACCATATATTATTTTCTTCTAAAACAAAATTTAGGTTTACATATATCTTAACTATTGAAAATTTATACTATCACGAAGTAAAATTCTGGGGCAATCTAACCACGAGAATTTCAATCACCGGCAAAAAAAAAAAAAGACACAAGTTTTGCATGGTCTTGTTATTCCGGCCATCTCGCTTCTTTAAAATATTTCCGTCCTAACTGCTTCTAGTTGACGCATCAGTCCGTCTTCGTCACAAGCAGTATACTAGACCCGCGTGTTTTTCTAGTCCATTTTTCATCTTTCAATCCACACCCCAGATTGGTAAATCAGGACCGAATTTTCAACGACACAATGCATATATGACAGAATTTTAAACACCCCACGTACTTACCATCATAACGTTCAGCTTGTTCAGCCAATTTGGCCTTGTACACATTATTTTCACGTTCCGACATTCTGTTTGATTGCGTTAATAAAATTCTCAGATATTAAACTTTTAGAAAGTTTCTATTAAAATATTTAATTTAGCGTCGACGTTGTATTAAAACAAAAATTTTCAGCGTTCTACACTTTTTTCGTCGTCGCCTGCGTTTCCGAAATTCAATTTTTACTTTTCTCTACTACGAATTTTTTCTCTTTGACAAACGTTTTACTTCTGCTTCTGCTCCGGCACTAATGTCGCTGTCGTTAACCGACTGTTTCGCTGCTATCGCTTTTCTTCCTCTTCTCCCCCTTTTTTCTAGACTGTCGCAGTAGCCGTTGCCGCTCTGCTCTATTCTTCTTTCTTCTCGTAAATCAACCGCTTTAAATTAGCGTCCACAGTTACAAAAAAAAAACGAAAACCACAAAATTCAAGTATATACTTGTAGCCAAATAAATCCCACAAGTCAAATAATTATATTAAATCAATTTTATTTGACAAGTTATCAATTTTAAATCGYTTTTTATCCGCAAAACTTCGATGAACGTCGTTGCTCGCCGCTGTCAACTCGTTGATTCATTTCCTACATAACCGAATACCAAAGGACGCTTAACGAAGTTTACTTGCTTTACCTTCGTTTTTGACAATCAATATGGCCGCACCTATTTTCATATATCGATTGCTATCTCATTTCTCAACACATGTTAACGGAGTAATTCGTTCCTTCGTCAAATATTGTAGCAGCTATCTCACATACTTCATTTTTCCATCTAGACTGTACAATAGAAACTTTTAATTGTAAAATGCTTGCACTAGCTGATAGAGGTCGCTATTCAGCTGAAATTCATGTTAGATTGTTTTCGCAATACTAAAAATGAAATTTCACATTCTTTGGTATTTTTTAAAAATATTGTCTTTTCACAGAATTTTATTTCAGTATTACTTTTTTTAAATTTTACACTATTTTATTATTCTGTAATTTTTCAAAAGCTCTCTCTCGACAAACAAAAACGAAACTCTATAAGTCACTCATAATTCCCGTCCTGGTCCTTTGCGCTTTGGCCACGGCGAATATCGCATTCGAAGGAAGGATGAGCTGTATGTGATATATGACGACATTGACATAGTTCAGCGAATTAAAAGACAGCGGCTACGCTAGCTAGGTCATGTTGTCCGAATAGACGAAAACACTCCAGCTCTGAAAGTATTTGACGCAGTACATGCCAGGGGAAGCAGAGGAAGAMCCMCACTCCGTTGGAAGGAGCAAGTGGAGGACCTGGCTGCGCTTGGAATATCTAATTGGCGCCACGTGGCGTACAGAAGAAAATACTGGCGCGCTGTTGTAAACTGGGCCATAATCGCGTAAGCGGAGTCTACGCCAGTAAAGAAGAAGAAGAACTTTTCAAAATTGACATATTCATATAGAGCATACATTCAAAATCAAATGAGTCGATATATAGCTGTACGTTAGGCCAATAACTATGAAAACCGCATTCTATTTAGAAATTTTTTATTTTTAAAATTTTCTAGATATTTTAGCGTTTAAAAATGATAGAAACAAGTTTGCGACACGGAGCGTCATAAACGAAACGAACTATCTAATGGCCCATTCAAATAGAACTTTTCTCGCTTTGCTTCACACTTCATACCTTAACAACGAAGTGAGGAAAGCAAAGGGTATATCAGAATGAATGCGTTTCTGCAGAGAACCTTCTCTGTTCACGATGTCAATATAATATACGTTCTCTGGTATTATTATAAAAGTATGTATTGTTAAGCAAAGCAAAAAATTTGTATGGGAATTATCCAATTCTAATATATGGAATAAATGTGGAATTTATTGTCTAAATACAAAAATTACAATTAAATAATGCGCTTGATTATCATAAATGTTTACTCATAGAAGGAGGAATGTAAATATGTCTATTTATTGTATATGATATTAAGTTAGTTTAGTTTTAATAAAATAAGAAAACCACAATACATACTTACAACCTGTGTTTAACTGTTTTTCGCATATTTCATTTTTCGACGGTCTGGCACCATCTGGCAATTATTTTGAACAAAATTGTCATATAGAATACCTGGAGAGCTTCAGTTTTTTTTTCTTTTCGCATAGCTTTTTATAAACAATTGATCTAGGCCGTATTTCTTATATTAACATGTCGAATAATACTGATATTATGGATGGTATAGAACCATGTCGGACGTGTGGTATATTCTATTTAACAGCATCAAATTTCCTACGCAAAATTTTTGATTCCAGTACAGATGAGTATGATTTATCACATATTCGCTCTGAATTATCGACTTGGAATGTTGAGGTAAATACAAATCTCTTTTGAAATAATTCAATATTATGCGATTATTATTTTTCAGATTAATCCAAATGATGGGTTGCCACAATATATATGCACGTGCTGTATACTGGAATTTAAAAAAGTTTTTAAATTCCGGAATCTATGCATAGAATTACAATCACAATGGAGGAATTTATACAACATAAGAGAAGAAAATCGAATATATATTAAAAAGGAGCTATCTGAACCAGATGAAACAAGTGAAAATATTTGCGATTTTATATATGTTGACGACCTAAGCGATAACGAATTCAATGGAAAAAGTGATGCAAGTTATACTCCTTTTAATATTCCTCATATTCCCATTAAAGAGGAAGTTATAGAAGGTGCGCCCACACTCAATGACAATTGTATTTCAACAATAAAGAATACATATAATGAAAGCAATATTAAGAGCACAGAAAGAGGTTTCGAAAGCAATCAATTTCAGAACCTAATGCAAATGCCGGACTACGATTCTAAAATAATGGTGTCTCCAGTATCTCCACTATTGGACAATTCCGTAAGCTCGGGTTCACCATTTCAATTGAACGATGAAACGGTAAAACCAGTGCAATGCAATTTATGTAGACATATGTCAGCTACTACAGAATTGCATAAACAGCACATGCAACGAATACATGAGCTGAAAGACATGGAGTGTCACATATGCGGAAAACAGTTTAAAAACACTACTGCTACACGTCTCAAATTTCATCTTAAATGGCATAGAATTAGCAAACATATTAAATGTGCTCAATGCGGATTTTTCTGTGACTCACGTGAGACTCTTAAAGAACATACCAAAGCTATTCATTCTAAAATTGAATGCACGAAATGTGGCAAACGTGAGTAAAAAAATATCAAAATATTAAAGTGAATATGGTAGCCAATAATTGGCCTGATTAGCCACTATAAGCTCTTATATATGTATATGTATTATGTGTAAATTTCTTTTTAGGTGTCTTGGGGAAAAAGATGAAAGTCCATATGCGCGCTCATGGATTTAGATCATGGCAATGTTCTTACTGTGATAAAGGTGAGCTTAAAATTAGTTGTCAGTATCTATGTCAATCTTCATGTTAATTTTTTATTTTAAGCATTTGAGTCGGAGAACGTACTTGAGGCTCATATTTGGCAAATACATGCTCACGAAGATGAGGCGCCTATTGTTTCTGAAAGTACGGATTGCCCCAGTAAGGAGGAAGAACAAAGTCTATCTTGTAGCCAATGCTCTCAGCTTTATCCTACGCAATATCAACTGAATACACATAAGCTGCTTTGTCATTTCAAAGAAAATACCTCGGACGATGATTCTTTTAATACGGAACTTCAGAGTGAACAATTTCACTACTCAGATAGACAAGATCTTGCAATCCCTATTACAAATATAGGAAATGCTAATGAAGTAATTGAAGAAACACGAGTTCATATAGAAAGCTCCTACAGTTCTAGTATCGATAATGATTTTGCGCAAGTTATCTCTTCTGATGATGAAAGCGGTGATAGCGAAAGCCAGTCCAAAGAAATTGTTTATCCAAAAAATACACAACCATTTTCAAACACTGATCAACTCTGTACCCACTATCAGCAACATTTGAAAAAATCTGAACTTAGCTGTCATATATGTGGTAAATCTTTTGAACTCAAGTTTAGTCTTAATCGTCATTTAAAAAAACACAAGAACACATAATTTACATCTTCAGTCTTTGGGTGACTAATATATAGTGTTCTATTGAAAGACATTCATAAAATAATTGTGTGCATTGTGTGCAAGCAAAATAAAAATAAAAAAAAATCTGAAATGTAAACTTAGTCATGTTTGTACATATGTATATTTTTCCATAAAATTTATTTTGATTCTGAAATAAAAAAGGACATGTTTACCTATAAATTATGACATTTTTTCTTAGGAAGGGGTAATTCAAAGCAGCCTAATATTTAAAAGTAATACAATGGTATAGACACATAATTAAATCAAAAGTAATACATTTCTATTGTGCATGGGATATGAAACATGTATAATGTTTTGATGTTCGAAAACAATTAGTGATTGACCAAAGTAAAAACGCCAATTTACGACCATATTCATGCGATGGACAGATTTCACGGAAATTTTTGATCTCCATCAATAATATATGGTTGTTATAATTTTGTCGAATAGTTTTGAAAACATGCATTACAAACATCAGGAAAAAAATTAGATAAAGTATATCTAAAATCTATGTGGTTTAGGAACAATACGATGATTTTCGTCTTTGACAATACTTTCAAATAGTTAAGTGGTGGAATATTATTATATAAGTGAGCTTGACAAATTCGCGGAAAATAATTTACTACCTCAAATTTGTTTTATTTCGTGATTATCGGTTTACGCGCAATAAATCAATATTATGTAAACCGTAAGATGTAAAGATGCATCACTTTAGCAAGGCATAATGACCATATCAACATTTTTCTTGGTTGTATTATTTATTGAATAAAGTCACTCAAATTATTTCACGTGCTTGCATTTGTTTGCAAAAACAAAACAAAAAAACGATCTATGTACGAATATTTATGTGTTATTAATTATATATGTATTTTCTTATACTTATCCTCAATGCAAAAATTGAACTTAAATGTTATATTTTCGAAGTTGTTTCTACGCACTCAGTAAGATGGTATTTTTAACATATATATAACATATCATTGGTGTGCTTATGGTGGCAACTACATAATTGTTACTACAATTGAGAGCAAATACCGATATAATCAGGACCGTAAGTAATTTAATCAGCGATTTCTTTCATTCAGAATCAGCATTCAGCAGATCTGTCATTCTTCTCGGTGCATTTCTTATTCAGTTATTTGTTAATATTAAGAGAACGGAGCGAGAAGTCACTAATTAATCAATCTCGTATACCTCATTCTCTTTGAAGCCGGATGGGGCAGGACCAGATGGAGTAACTGGCGGGTTTTCTATTGCAACTGGCACTTGTTGTCCAGCTTGTCCACTAGAAGATTGGAAATATCCTGCTGCATTTGGATTTTGATTTGCATACAAAAGTGGACTCATATACATTCCACTTGGATGGGCAAGTGTTGCGTGTAATGACAACAGCTCTTTATACATTGTAGGATTATTGTTATTCATTTCGGTATATAAATGTTGCAAGTATGTGGGAACAAGTTGTAGAGCTTGAGTATGCGTTATTTCTGGATGATCTTTGACGATCTTCATATTGAGTAACTGTAACAGTACATCCGAACGAAAACCAAAAATGCGGTTTGATGTTACTCCACCGGTTGCATTACCTAATTGACCGCCGAAAGCACCGCGATCATATGACATATATTGTGCAGTTTGAACACTACGTGTCTTTTCTGCTTCATATTCTGCCCAAGCTGCCTTGCGTTCAGCATCATTAAGATTCTCGCTTTCTTCGTTCTCTAAAAGCGAATCGTGTTCATGATACTTAAATATCATCGATTCGTGTTTACTGAGTAGTTCTGCAAATAACCGATCTTTTGGTAAAATAGGTATTTCCCGTTCACTTGCTGGTTTCAACTCATAAGAATAAAGTTCCTGTAGATCAGATTGATTGTAGTGACGAGAAATTTGTTGTTCATCTATAACTCTTTTAGCTGTTGCCTGTTTTGCTACCTGACGCTCATATACCTTTTGCTCCATTGTGCCCATGGCTATGAGTCGATAAATATAGCAAGGCTTTTCCTGACCAAAACGATACACTCGAAAAATGCTCTGGGTGTCATGTGAAGGATTCCAAGAAACGTCGAATATGACAACACGATTTGCAGCAACCAAGTTTATACCTAAGCCACCAGCTCGTGTTGAAATGAGAAACAGACGACCACGCAAATTGTTAACATCATTAAATTTTTTGCACATCGCTTCACGACTCTCGACGGAACATGAGCCATCAAGACGAAAATAATCAACTCCCGGCTGCCAGCAACCTTTAAAATCGCCGACATCACCTAAAATTATAAATCATATTAAATTCATTTATCTTTATATTTATAAATAAATATATTATTTTTGCCTTCATATTCGTATCCTTTAGTCCTACTGTCTATTAATGACAAAAAATGTTCGATTACATCGATAGATTGTAAGGATTGCGAAAACACCAGAAGTTTGTCACCAATAACCTCACATTCTTGTAGCAAGTTCATCAGTATCACCAGTTTCGGGGAATGATTTATATTGTTCAACTCCTTTTCCTCCACAAAACGTTTCCACCATTCTGATGGATCAGCTTCTGGTTGTGGCGGTTCAAATTCTTCAATATCACTATCTTTATCTATCTGCTTGCGACCGGATGAACGGGCAGATTTACTTCTACTTTGTACACCACCAGTTCCACTACCACCACCGCCGCTGGCGAATGATTTTGATGAATCCACAGACGTTTCTGAACCGGTGTCACTCTCAGCATCATCATCATCATCATCAATAAAATCCTCCATTGAGTCTGAGTCATTAGCCTGCTGTCGTTTACGAATAACCGTATCACTATTCATTCGTAAATTCATCGGATGAGTCCATATTCGGCGCAAATCCTGAAAATCTTGAAATAAACGTGCTCCTTTTCCGCTAATATCAGAGCCACTAAGGTCGCGCTGAGTCGTCATGTAATATTCGTATAGCTGCTGTTGCAGATCCGAGAGAGTTGTATACACAGTATATTCGTGCTTTGGCGGTAAATATGGTGCCAGCACCGAATAATCACGTCTCTGAATGCATCCTTCCAACATTTTGTGCAAAATGTGGGATCGATGCTTCATAAGACGAATATCACGCTCAGTCGAATCTGTGTATTGACCATTGGTTATAGGATTCACAAACCGATTTAAATACTCCTTATATGTGCCAAGAAGGTTCGGTTTGATAAATTGAATCATGCAATAATCTGTAAAATATATAAAGGAAGGAAAATYATTGTATTTATTCAATTATACAAACATAATAATGTATTATATTATATTTAGGGACGAAATGAAACTTGGTGAACTTATGAAACATTTACAACCAATTATTAATGTAACTAAATTGTGTATGAACGCGATATTAAAGAAATTAAAGAAGTGAGAAATTGTAGACTTATCTCTTCACATTCAAGGAAAATATTATTGTAGTCCATTTTGATCAATTCCACAATATTTAAGTATGGACTGTAACCCTATTATTACAATCAGTATTGCCTATTTTTTTGGCTGATATGAAGTAGTATATTTATTAAATCATGAAAAGTGGAATGAGTTCAACTGATATAAATCGCATTTTGTATATCGATTTTATTACTGTATCCTTTAGAAAAAATACTCTATAAATAAATCATTGTCGGTCACTCGAAATTATATTTTTGTATTTAATAATTTTAATTCTGAGCTAAAATATTTATAACAAGCTAAGTAAAGTCGTAACAGATTTAAATTTATTTAAATATAAATAAGTAAAAACATTCAAGATCCATACTTACATTCTTTAAGATTGTTCTGAAGTGGTGTACCAGTTAGAACAATTCGTCTTTTAGTTCGCATTTTAGTAACAGCCTTACTAATGGAGGTTTTCTCGTTTTTAAGTAAGTGACCTTCATCACAAACAACTAGATCTGGACCTGGGTCCACTAGCGTTTGCTGCAATATTTCACGTTGTTTCTTGCGTAAACCTTTTGCCTTTTCGTTAGCCAATATACGATACATATCGTAGCCTATAACGCATGCTCCACCCTCTTCGAACCATTCGTTTAATTTGAAAATTCTGGTTGGCTTGTCCTTGTACTTGGACATGTCATATACTTCCACATTACGTTTATTAGCAAATGCAATCCAGTGATGGAATTCACGTGCCCAATTATTGAGTGTACTCAAAGGAGTTATTATTAGAACGCGTTCTACTCCGGTTCGTCTTGAATTTACTAATAAAGTGTGGGAAAGGGTTACTATTTGTAATGTCTTTCCCAAACCCATGCAATGAGCCAAAATGCAACCGGAACCAGCATTATCTTCAGCCTCCTTCATTGTTTCGAAACAAGCATCCCACATAAATTTCACACCAGCTACTTGATGAGGTTTTAACTTTTTTAAAATACCTCTATCAACTTCTAGCAAAGGTTTTTTAGTTTCCTCATCAAAGTCCAGCACCAATTCAGTGACCTCAACATTTTCTGGCTTTTCGTAAATTTGATTGTACAACTTTTGACGTTCCTCTATACGTTTGCGTCGCTCTTCTTCCTCTTTAGTTGCATTTTTTGTGGTAATGTCTAGATCCTTGGTTTTTATAATTTTGCGGATATGTTTGCGTTTATTTTTATTTTTCTCATCAGCATCTTCCTCATCTGATTTAGCACCCTTTTTGACCTTTCCCTTCCGCTTAGCATCGCTATCATCCTCATCACTGCTTTCTTTACCACGGCGGAGGCGTCCGCGTTTTTTGGGAACTGGCTGTGGTGTGAAGTCGGAATCATCATCACTACTTTTCTTTCTTTTATTAAAAACTCTCTTTTTGCGTGCTGGTATCACTTCACTGTCACTACTTTTGCCATCCGACTCCACTTCAGATTGATCGTCAAAGTTGTTAACGTTCTCATATGTAGCTGAGTCTGATTCATCTGAATCAGAATTCATAACTAATTTTCTAGTTGATGCTGGTGACCTTTTTTCGTTGAAAGAATTACTATTATTTTTTATAGAATTATTTCCACCGTTGACTTTAGTAATAGTCAATTTTTGGCTTAAAAGGTTTGAAGAAGTTGGAAAAATGGTTCGTTTTATGCGAACAGTGCATTGCCTTATGCGGGGCAGCGCTCCCTCAAAAGGATTTGATTTTTCGTTTTGAGCCAATTCGTCTGATTTTGTCGAAATTTGATTTGATGTTTCTTTTTCCTGGTCTTCCTCACTGTCACTTAACTCTATCAGAGTACAATTATTCCTATTCTTACGGTCAGGTAAACGCCTAGACTGGGTTTCGGATATCAGTTTCTTATTTTCTTTAATTTTATTCACTATTGGTTTTTCCAATAGTTTTTCTAATGGTACAACACGCACTTTGAATTCATTTCCAGAATTTTGCAGGGCTGATATTTGTTCCGAACTGTTATTTAAAGATATTATGTTCGATAAACGAGCTTGTTTGCTTCTTTCGTTCTGGGAATCAGATTCATTTTTGTCCTTACTTTTTGGGTCAAATTTGGAGTTAACTTTAATATTGGCCGTTGAGCTATAATTATTACTGTCTTCCGCTGAATTTGCATCAGAATCCGTATACTTTTCCTGTCCCATAGATGCAATTTTACAAAAAAAAAACTACGCAGTTCCTGTTATGGAAACAATTATTCACCAGTAGTGATCGGTTCTATAAYGTAAACGAAAACATTAGCCTTTTCAATTAGGAAACAACTGTATCTGCAAAAAAAGGCATATTTATTATATTAATACATATGCAGAATTATGTTTGAAATCTATATAAATTCAATTTAAAAACTACTTGTATTTTTTCATTATACCAAATCGTCTTGCTTTTTCTGGAYCTATTTTATAATGTACACAAAGATTTATCAAACTCAAGCAAAAGGAAACTCACTCCATTCGTGAGAGAACGGAACTTGTTCTTAAATATCACTTATTCCAATTGTAAAGTAGTACAAGTTTTCAAATGAATGAATCTCTTGTTTAATATAAAACATTTTAAACGCACCTAGATATGCGGTATGTGCATTTTACACCAAGCAAATAGTTTTTTGTAAAGAATTAAATTTTCAATACAACCGAAGTAAATAAAAAAAAGTCCGGGTCTCACATATTTCAATTAAGTTGAATGCGTAAAGTAAATATAATTTGGTTTTATCTTTTTTTAGGTTTTAGCGAGGATTTTTTGTGCAATCCCTTCTTAGAAAACACAAATAGTCAAACGCCGCTAAAAATCGGAATTTTTAACTTTGCAGGTATACATAGATCAACGCAAAGATGTGTTTCGTGAGTATACTGCCAGATGAGCGTTCGCGTGTCGTATAAAATCAATTATTCACAATCATATCATAAAAATATTTTTTGGTTCTTTACGTTTTTTATAACTTCTATTGAAATTAAGCAGTTTACGTTTTTCAAATTAAATGTCAAATATATATATCAAAACCTATCAGTGCTGTTCGTGTAGGGGCTTGAAAAGATTAAAATGAATTCGATTAATTTTTAAGTACAAAATACATGCTATTATATGAGCTTAACAGGTATAAAATGAATTGTTATTGAAATGAGATCTTAAAAATTCTGTTTTAATTTTTTCTTACTATAATGGAGTCAACTTAACAAAAATGAGAAAACAAATACAATAATTTTGAATTACAAGYGATTTCCGAATAAATCGTTGCATTCTTCACCTGTTAATCGATAACATTGGAACATTGTTAGGTAAATTAGAACCATTGTGTTCAGACACGAAAGCTTTTGTTCCATATTGTTGAGAAATTTTCTTTAGACGGGAATTCGCGTAAGGATTCATTATTGAATTATTCAAGGTTACATATAACTACGTTATCGCATGTTATGTAGTTTCAGCTTAGACACCAGACATTCTATGTAGAAATTTCTTTAGTATGTATGTATTTTCATTTAGTTCTTGGGTTCCCAGCTWGTCACGGCTACCGAAATGCCACTAAATTGACGGATTTAGAGGAGACAGTGCAAATCATGCGATCTTTGTCTAGGAAATGGATGAGCACTCATTCGTACACAAAAGTTTCGGGTAGTTTTGTCCATTCSACCTAAAAAATCTCATAGAAACTAACATACATACTTGCATATAACATGGTAAATCTCAGGAAGCGCTGTTGGGAAATTAACCGATGATTTTACCTGTAGGTGACTTATAAGACTCATTTGAATYTGCATCGGTTGTGTTCATGAAAGGTAACTATAATCGAACTGTGAATACGCTAAATGGGCATTTAAGAGAGATTGAATGTACCATTGTTGACAATTAAGTGACAATTCATGGTATGTTCAATACACTGTGAAATTAGAATATTAGACGAAATGAGAGGCTGTGTCCGAAAAATAATAAATTGAAAAACTGAAAAAATGTTCAGATGAGGAAAAAATTTGTAATGAGGGAACCGCATTGCTCGTAACGCAACATCGAAGTAGACATAATTGAGCCAAAGTTAAATTCAGTGAGCGTCAGGATAAAGAAACGTGGGTAATTGTTAGATTTTTTTGTAACAGGTGAGGTTTTAAAGTTGATAGGAAATGAGATTTAATAATTTTAGATAAAAGTATTGTGCCCCTATAAAGTGAAAATATAAATAATGAACACATTCTTGCGGAGAAAAAGCAAACGATGATGCAAGAACTTTTGCATTCATTGAAAGTTTTGTTTCCCCTTCTTGGTATAGAGAAATTAATTGACAACTTTTGTTTGTAATATTTGTACGTTACAGTGAAACAGGACTCTGACAAAACGATATTCAATTAAAAAGGTATTGTGATAATGGCGCAACTGATAAAACAAGATATGAGCAGTACAATGTCCGATTCAGAGGTGAGTGCTTCTGGTGGTGTACTCGAAGATAGTGATACGAATTCTAGTAGCAGTTCTAGTATGAGCTCTTCAACTTCTAATTCAGACGTGATTGATTTGCAATTAGATACACTGGAGCTAGCTAAAATAAGAAATGAATTGTTACGTTTGCCGCGGGGTTTGTGTGAAAGTATGAAAATCTTTCATGAGTTTTTCTCAGTAGACACATGGAATAATATACCTGAAGCGATTCGAGCAGGTTTGGAAAAGCATTTACCAGATTTCACTAATATGCTTACCCCTCAAGAAATATCTGTGGAGATGCATCGTACTTTATCTTTGCTTTTTAACGGTGGCTTAACGCGATTTGGCCACTCCCCTCTTTTTGACTTGCAACAGGAATTGGAAAGTGGAAATTTTAGGCCTGACGTTGTGCGGCTACGTCAAAGCATTGCTAAATCACGACGACGTGAACAGCGTTTTCAAAGATGTGAACGACTTAGTCAACTTGCTAAAGAATTGTTTTTGTCTCGTGAACGCCTTTTGCAAATTGCTTACAAATCTGCCCCAAGCAGCAAACTACGGACAGAACGTGCAACAAAGCGCGAACAAACCATTTTTCAAGCTGATACAAAACTTTGTACTGTGCGTTGTCGAAAACGCTTCAGAAAAGAATTGGATAATATCACAGATCAGTTGGGCATTAAACCTAATGAGTTAAGTGCTGACGAGGCGGATGTTTCCTCGGTCGCAAATGTCACTGAGGAAAGCCATTTCAATTTGAAATCTGAAATATCATCTGCATTGAAGTTACCTGCTTCTGGTACTGATCGTTTGATTTTCAGTACATTGTTTAAAAGACGAAAAAATCTTGCTGACGAAGATGTGATACGCACCGATCAGAATACGCAACAATCTAGATTATCAAATCGAAATTTCCGATCGTATATACGAGAGCACAAGCGGCGGAAAATTACAGAGCCGGTATTTATTTTATTATATATTTACTTATGTATGTCTAATTTCTGATTAAATTTTGAATTTTCAGACTTTACCAGACTTTGAAACTTCCGATATACGGTTGCGAGATGTCTGTGCAAGGGCACAGATGGGTGGGAATTTTAAACAATTTTTCGGTGTGGGTAAAATTATTGGAAGGAAAACTAAACCTAAACCGGTTTCTTATACGGATCCTCCAGCATTAGTACCAATTACGGCCAGTGATCAATATTGTGACACATATGGAAAGAACGAAAATGAGGTCAAATTAGATATTCTATCGATTGAGGGAGGTTCAAAAAATGTAAAAGAACAACAGGTTGAACATTTTCAACAGCGTTTATCTGAACATTCAAATGGAACCTTACAGCATCCGTTTCTTCCTGAAGATGGTGCACCATTTAACATACTAGATGGTGAAGTGGAACTTCAACAAGAAGAAGTTGAAACCTACGGTAACTGCGATGAGGCTTTACCAAGTTTCGTAATTTCCAATGAAGTTGTCCTACCCACGATTGAACAAACTGAAGTACCCCCACAGAAACTATTGCAAACGCCTCACAAAGTAGACGACAGTAATGCCGATTTACAGGGTAAATATCCATTGTTAGAAAATACTTGTCAAAGTACTTTAGCTGAGCAAAATATACCAAAGCTAGAGTCTATTTTTGCAAAGGTGAACAAAACACCTCTCAAAGAAAAGGCGCGATCGAATTCTCAATTAAACTACAATGCAACCAATATTTCATCGGCAACTGGAGCATTAATAACTCATATAAAACGACAAACGCAACCCTTGGTTTCACCGACAAAAAGTCTTATTCCAACGACACTTGAATCATCTGAATTAATACAGGAGACTCATGCTTGCTTCTTTTCGCTTATACGTGATTTATTTTGCGCAACACCCCATCACCGAATGCAATACAATGAACTGCGTATTAGGATCGATATCTGGTTACGCAATCCTATAACTGCTTTAAACGATTGGTATTCTCAGTCTGATAACTGGTCAGCATTATTAACATCTGCTATACATTTTTTGGCTGGAGATTTTTCCGATCAACCAGACGAATATGTTCCATACTTAGAATTCAAATCCCAACAAAATATTTTTCAGTGGATAGGAGCAGGTCGTGACTCTGACACCCGTCTCTCTAAGTTGTGCACTTATTGGTTGCAACGCCGTGAAATTTCGGATAAAAAGCCGAGTGCTGCTTGCCAAGTAATTACGGATGATGGAAAGGAATCTCCAAATAATATAAAAACAAATAATAACACTTACAACTCTAACGAAATAGACGATGCTCCAGTATCATTCGATGGTGGTATATCCCCACCACCTCCACCACGCTGTCCTACGACATGGACGGTCTGTGCGGCTACACCAGAGGAAATTGTGGAGTTTCAACGACAGGAACGTGAACGTTTTGAGCAACCGCACCGTGCTTACACTTACCATATGCATGGTTACGAAAGTGTAGTCGGTCCAGTTAAAGGAATATACACACAAATGTATGCTTTAACTAAGGCTCGTGGACATAGTATGATGGTTGGGAATCGTCCAAATTTTGTCACCATTTTAACATTAGTTCGTGATGCAACTGCACGTTTACCGAATGGGGAAGGCACTCGGGCCGATATAGCCGAATTGCTTAAGAGCTCGCAATATATAAACTTAAAAGAAGGGGAAAATGTATTACAAACAACGGTGAGCGGAGCATTAGATCGCATGCACACAGAACATGATCCATGTGTGCGTTATGATCCAAAGCGTAAAATTTGGATCTATCTCCATCGAAATCGGAACGAAGATGATTTCGAACGAATACATCAGCAAAGTCAGGGTGTAGGGAAATCCAAAAAAGTTGCACATCGTAAATCTAAAGCAAAGGTCGCATTAGCCAAAGCAACTTCAGAAATAAATGATCCCAATTCTGTTTTACTTACATGTGAGGATGAAGTTAATGTTGGAACTGTAAGCACAGCAAACACCACTACAAAAACTAGCGCAGCTTTTTCTATGCCTGCATTAGTACCAGCAAATCCCATCATTGTAAGTAGTCAAAGTGCCATTGAGCAACAAAAAATACCACTCGTTATCACTAAACCATCAGGGAATCGTTCGCTTCCTGTCCCGCCATTAAAGTACAACATACCGCACCAACAGCAGAAATCTTTACTTAAAACGGCTGTTCAATCACAATCGCAACGGCATCAAGAGCATCGGCAAATCAATAACACTACTGGTATTGATACACAAATACCACAACAGCAAAGGATTCAACAGCGAATGACAATCTCAACAAAAAATGCAACAATAAATGAAGTTGTTTCAGAAGAAAGTAAGGTTAACAAACAGTTAAATTTAACTATGTCACCAATCAAGTCTAACTTAACGACGATAACAACGGGAAATGTTAACTCTACCCCAATCATTGTTGCTACGCCATC